AAAAATAGTGGTGCTTTTCTGGAGAGAGAAGCCCCCAAAACCCCAAAACCCCTGATAATGAATTTAGAACAAAAAGTGAAGTTCTATAAAACAATTAAACTCTACTGATTATTATCATCTAATTAATTATTGACTTATTTAATAGCCCTTTCTAAAGTATTTAAAGGCTAGTTAGATATAAAGAACTAATAATTAAATATAGAGTCAAGATATGAAATCTGTAGATTCTTCTGAACAAACTTAGCCATTGCTATAAGGGCAATAATAAGATCAACTGGCAATAAATAACTCATAAAGCAAGGGTATTTTGCCGAAAGAACTTAATTGGATCATGGAAAATTACAAGGAAGTTGATTATACTCCGGTTGAGAGTAGAATCCATGAAATTCCATTTGCTTTCCACTAATGTGATTAATTACTGCAGCAAATCATCGTTCCTCACAAAAACATGCTTCTGATTGAATATGTCGTAGAAAACGGTGAACGAGAAAGGTGGGTTAGGATTATAGACCTTTCCTCTTTTTAGACTTTAAAAACAATTTAGTTTAAAAACAGCAATGGCAACAGTAAGATGGTGCATCAACTCTTCAACGGCATTGATTACATTTTCTATCAAGAGACTATCTCCAAAGATACCTGCATTTACCTAACTAAACTTGAGGATTTGGAATTTAAACAAGAAAAGAGTTTGGCTTAATTCAAATTGGATAAAGTGCAAGCACTCTAAAATGCGTTAATAACTGATGAATTCGACATTTACTTTGTGTACGGTATTAATAGAGTTTTATTCCGCTGTGATTAAAATATCTTCACTCTAACTAACTAAAACTCTTAAAAGTTCTATGAAGTTTAGATTTTAAGTGAAAAAGACTATAACACTTAAATTGCTGAAACTCCTAACAAATTATTCGTTCCCAATGATGCCTAGAGTTACCACCAGTTGTATGGGCACTATAGTCTTAACTAGAGTTCGTTATAAAACCATTATGTCTTGCGTCATAAGTAGAAAACCTATATAGTTGACAAAAAAAGCCTTGATAAAACATAGGTGATTGATAAAAATTACCACGCTATAAGATACTTAGATGTGTATGAGTATCTGATGGACGACGATTTCAACCTCTATAAATATGACGTAAATACTAACCAGTTATAGAATGTGAAACAACTATACTCAGGACGAAGTATTTCGTACTTATACAAGATGGAAATAAGCCCCAGTAAACTTATATTCTTCTTTAGAACTGAAGACGATTTGAAAGTATTCCTAGCATTTGAAACTATGAAATTTGAACTTGTAAATGAAATATAAAAAGTGATCCAGGAAGAGTTAGATACACTTTTGATTGATACAGTAAATAACAGATTCTACTTTAGAGAGTCAGATGGGGAAAATATTAGATTCATCAACTTTAACACATACTACTAAGAAAGCCATAACTTAGAACCTGTAGTTTATCAAAACAAGAAAGTATTCAGAGAGAAATATGAGTTTATTGATAACCACTACTTACTCCTTAGGACAAATCAAGGTACTGTAGTCCAAGACTTATAGCAAATCATCAAGACACAATTAGATTGTTAACTAAGATTCTACTTATAATCTCGAGTTAATTTTCTTACTTCAATTTTTCATCAAATCCAACTTTGTAATTACTTTCGCTACCTTATTAAAAGGCTTCTTTCTGCATAAATGAGTCACTGTTTTTACCTCTATTAAGCCTTAGAGATACCCTACCCTTAATCCTTTTTCAATAAATATGGGTGCTATGATAAAATATCAAAGAGAGTATTTCAGAAATAAATTATGATAATCTTTTATCGCATTTCTATAGACCTTTTTACCCGAACTAGTAAGCAAATAACAAGCAGCAAGTATGATGTGGGAAATTATTTTATACAGAATCCAGACATATTCTATGATGAGAACTTTGCCGAGATAGTTAAATAAAGGTGTCCTGCTGATGTGAGCGAGACTGTTGATGCTATAAACTCAGAGGATATCATTCTTAGAGTGCATAGAGATTTCATTTATTTAAACGGCAATAAAAAGGTAGATTGGCCTGAATTCAGGGAAAGATCAGACATTTAATTCAAGAAGAGAGACAAATTCTGTCCAATGGTTAATAGATTCAATGAGAAACAATATGTCCTTGACCTTGCTGCTGATCACAAAATCGTCTATTTTGACAAAAAAACCTAGGAATTTAAAACTATAGATATAGCTGAAGATGAGGAAATTCCTCTATCTCCTCAGCACGCATACCTTGATGAAGAACTTGGCGTCATAGTCATAAAAACGCTGCTTTAAGTAAAAATTTATAGTCTGGTTGATAATCAGAGAATCAAGGATATAACAGATGCACTACCATATTCATCAATATTTGTTCGAGATAATTATATTCAAGTGCATTCCAATCTAGTCTCTTATGTATTGTTTTTCAAAGATAAAAAGGTTGTAAAGCTTCTCCAGATTCAATAGAAGGAAGTAGCTTCAAACTTTGAAAATTTGGGTTTTTACCAAGAGGATATTAATTCAAAATCCTACCAAATGATAAAACGAAAAAATATCTATAATTCTGAGATCTATATTATGGCCTAAAATTCATTTGTAGAAATGTTTAACGAACAATTACTGACTTAACCAGTCTTTCCAGCTCTGTAATTCAATTTAGCTTAGAAAATAGTGGTAGGACCAAGTTAGGTACAACTTTTCGTGAATGGAGAAGACAATATGGTGGGGTATTTCGATATAGCTATTACAGATACTCTTATTGTAGACTACAGATAGATACTCAAAAAGAATAACGAGCAGATTGTGAAAGAGCTGCAATCTAATCCAGATCGTTACTTTAAGTATGTTTCTGGGTTTGGAACCTGCTTCTCGCTGTTCTAGAATAACTTGATTGCTCTAGAGACCATAGCCAAATAGCTATCTCTTAAAGATAAATCGTCTTTACCTATTCTAATATGCTAGAGAATGCTAGGTAAAGAGACCCCTTTAGATATCTCACTAAAGAATAAACAGCAAAAGATCCTTAATCTCATACTCTCAATGATCATAAAATACTAGGATCATTTCGTATTTAACTAACTGGTTGACAATCAGTTATGTGAGCTTATCAAACAACAGATTGATCTACAAGAATATTTTGATAGCAATTTGCCAAGCTACTAAATTCTAGATCCATCATTTCCTAACTAGCATCCAGACGATGAAGATGATCCTATGGTCTCGATAGAATATCTATTGATTAACCTTCCAACATCATTGACTAAAAATCCAAGAGAATTAATGCAAGTATTAAGTGAAAGTGACTGCCCAGAGTACTTCGAAAATCAAATCATTCAAAGCATAATCAAACTTAAGTGGGATTCTTACACAAAATCATTTTACCAGCACAGATTCTACATATTCTTGATTTTCATGGCTTTCTTCGTCTTGGATATCTTCCACTCAGCTTACTTTAGTAACAGTTAACCAGATTCTACGGAAAGTGAAGCATCACATAAGGGTGAAACCAAGACTGAGATTGAGACTAAGACTGAGCATCTGATTCCGTATATATGGGTATAAATCTCAACAAAAGTAGTTTGCTCCATCGTACTACTTTACTTTTTGAGTTATGAAGTAAAGTAAATGATAGTATAGAAGGCCAGCTACTTTAGCGATGCTTGGAATTACTTCGACTTCTTGCACATCATTGCTTACATTTTATTCTGTGTATAAGACTTCGCTGATGAGACATCAAATAACTTAATCTTACTGAAGATTATTGTTATTGCACTAACATTTATGAAGCTATTCTTCTTCATTAGAATCTATGATGGCTTCAGTTTCTTGGTTCAAATGATGGGAGGTGTATTCAAGGATATAAAATACTTCATCTCTTTCTTCCTCATAATCATATGTCTGTTTGGAATGATCTTTTTAGTCCTCTTTAGGGCATAGCCTATTGATGAATATAAGGGTGTAGATCAGATAGCTTACTTTTTGATGGCTTTTAGAGTATCATCTGGAGACTTCTAATTAGATGATTATAGTGGGCAAGAAGGCTTATTAGTTTTAGTATCTTGGATCATATGGATACTTGCTGTGTTTACCTTGAATATCGTATTCATGAATTTCATAATCGCTGTTATCTCAGAGTCCTATGAAAGAGTCATGCAAAAGCTTGTTGCTGAATCATATAAAGTAAAAGCAAACATGATAGTAGAAAAGGAACAACTGATTTCAACAAACGATCTCACTGATATAAATCTATTCCCTAACTTCATCGTTGTGAGAAGACCATTAAGTAACGACTCTAATGAAGCTGGAGAATGGCAAGGATTCATAAAGGATATCAAGTACACTATAAGAACAGCCGTAGCAAAGTCTAAAGGAGAAATTATTTAAAATCTCCACTAATCACTCGAGAAAATTAATAGTTCTATTCAACAGAGTCAAAAGAAAAGCATTAGTGATGATAGCATTGAAAACAAACTCTAGAAGATTAAGGACTAACTTGATTCAAAAGTTGATAGTCTTGACACAAAAGTCGTAGAGCTTAAGAATGATATGAATTTCATCAGAAGTTCTATTGCTTAGATTCTTCAAAATTAGAATTAGCAATGATTTTTTGATTTTAGAGACTATTCATGGACTCTTTTCTTTCAATTCCTCATTTATATGGCAATTGAAGCTTGCAATTGCTGTGAGAAATTGAAATTTATTCAAATAAGAATTAAATTGATACTTTAATATGAGATTGATTTAATTTCTTAAACAACTTTAATAAGCTTACTTTTACTTTCTGGGGTTTTGGGGTTTTGGGG